ATGCCACTGAGACTGAAAAAAAGCAGCATTTAGGCCATCTGGACCAGGGGCCTTAAACCTGCCCATCTTGAACACAATACTCTTGATCTCCACATCATCAGGGATCTTAGCTAGATTCTGCAATTGTTAAACCTCCATTTTAGGAAAGGTACCTTTGATGGGAAACTCTTCAAAAGAACTGTCCTCCTCCAAAAATAACTTCTCAAAATACTTCACAGTCGTTTCTATCATACCTTCAGTATCAGCTGTCCATTCTCCAAAATCATTCTTAATGGCACAAATTTTATTTCTCCTCCTTCTAGCTATAGTAGTTGAGTGAAAGAATCTTGAATTTCTATCACCAAATCTCAGCCATTTGACTCTGGATCTCTGGAACCAATTTAATTCTTCTCTTAACAGAATGGTCTCAAATTCTTTCCACAAATCTCTTTGTAGCCTCTCAAGGTCCCTATCATACCCAACTTCCAGCTTCCATTCCAGTCCCTATATTCTGGCATATAGTCTATGTTTCTGTCTCATCTCCTCTTTAAGCAACTCTTAATGCAATTTAGATGCTGCATTCTCAAAATCTCTCCTAGCCTTTGTCCATTCAGCATTTCTGCCCCAACAGTTTTTGACAATATTGCCAAAATTAGCATTTGTGAGCCAGGCAGCAAGAAATTTGAATTGACTTCCACCCCTTGACTCCTTGCTAGATTGAAAACAGCTGACAAGTATTGGCCTATGATCAGAATTGAAATAAGGCAAATGAGCTAGCACTCTATTCGGCCAAAAAACATTATGTTCCTCATTTGCACATGCTCTATCAATCCTCTCTTGTAATTTTCCCTTCCTCCAAGTGAAGCTAGGCCCTTTAAACCCAACATTAGAAATCCTACATTTCACAAGGCAGTCCTGCATATCCTGGATACTCTTCCAACACACATCCAGTCCCCTAACCTTTTCATACTGTCTTAAAACAGAATTGAAATCTCCAAGCAAGATCCAAGGGCCAATCACAGATTCAGAAATATCCACCAATTTCTCCCAAAGCTTAATTCTCTCCACTCTCCTCGGGCTACCATAGACAAAAGTAGCTAATTCCATCCTTTTATCTTCAATATAGTGAATTCTAGTGTGAACATATTGATGATGGGCACGAATTACCTCCACCTCAACATCTCTATCATCCCATAAGATCCATATTCCACTCGTAAATCCAACACCCTCCTGTTTAAAAACCTTAAAGAAACCAAGTTTTTTGACAATAGCATCACCTCTACCACCCTGAATTCTAGTTTCTAACAAAGCAAGAACTTTTATTTTAAACCTATATTTAATATCTCTAATCAAAGCAGGAAATTCTTTCTTCCCTACTCCTCTACAATTCCATGAACAAAGATTCATAAAATGGACTGAAAATAAAAGAACCCGTACCTCAATCATCAAGGATTGAATCATCAATTATATACAAGATTCCTGGCCCCTCCTAGGCCTGAGTTCCCCTGATCAACTTCTGTCCCATTAAGAGCATGGCCTCCAATCTTCACTAGATTGGGGTTCTCCTCCCCTTTGCCTTCCTATTGGCTAGATTATTAGGATCCTGAGTAGGTTGCAACACTCCCCCTTCTGACCCCTTGCTTCTAGTAACCACCTTCTGCATTCCATACTCGAAGAACTGGGAGGATGGTTCTCAGAACCCTGACTTCTATTCACAGTCCCTTTATTAGTGACTTTATTTTTCTGACCTCCACTAGGACCCATAGTGCCTCCTCTAAAAGAACCAGGCTTCATTCCACCTTTTTTCTGCTTATCTGACCCTGAAGAAAGATTACTAGGAATAGATCCCTTAGCTTTCCTATCACTACCACCTCCTCCATCAGTCTTACTCATGATCACTTCCTTCTTATCACCTATTTTAGGAGCTACATCAGGGGACACTTCCTTCATAAGGCTATCTGTATTTAAGGCCTCCCAACATTTCCCCATCAACAGCAGTAACATTCTGGTCCTTCAATTTCTGGTTCCCATCTCTATTGGCTGTAGATTTAAACAGAGAAACTCTCATCTTCCTCCCTCTACCAGGCTTCTGGACTACCATCCAAGATCCGAAAGCCTCCTCTACTTTCTGTTTCTCTTCAGTTTTCTCCTTCATCTCAATATCCTGATTCCTCAAACCAGGAGCACCAGTCTCAACACTGATTTTCTGTCCACCAATGCTAGGACATAAGTCCTTCCTATGCCCATACATACCACAGGCAAAGAAAATCATATGTAATCCCTCATAGCCAACGTGCATGACTCTCTCTCCAATTTTGAACTTCGATAGGAAACTTTTCCTAAGATCCACTTCCACACATATACGGGAAAATCTGGCCCTTTCTGTTACATCCCCATCACCATACTCATTCCTTCTTATAGAATTCTTATCTATCTTAAGTGTTCTCCCAAATATACTGCCAACTTTCCAGAGAGTCTTGGTAGTGTAGAACTCCACGGGTAGCCCTGGTATTCTGATCCAAACTGCCAGCCTCTTCAACTGATCATCATACGGATCAAATAAAGGCCTCCATCTTTGCACAGTTAGGTAATGATCTGCAACTATCCATGGACCTTTATGGAGCACATGATTGTAGTCACTGTCTTCCTGGAATCTAACCACCAGATACCCGTTCTAAATGTCAATAACCTCATATATACCCATCAGGTTCCACATTCTGACCACACGAGTCATTAGAAACCTAGCTCTCATTCTCTTTCCCAGCAGCTTAATAATCAGCGCTTTCCTCCATTGTTTGCAGTCCTCTTTGTGCTGCTCTCTCGAGAACTTGAACGAAGGGCATAATGGATCCTCCAATGCATCTACAGATCCTTCTTCCAGCATGTCCTCCTCTTCTTCCTCCCCTCTCTGCCTAGTCAACCAGTCCTCATCTTCATTATCCGACATATCATCAGCTCCATTGAGCCTCAGCAGCTTGTCTCTGTATGAGACAACTTTCCGCCCTTGCCCGCTGCTCTTCCCTGAGGATCCACCTGACAGTGGCGCAGCTTCATCGGCAAGAACCTTCCCAGGGGATTGAAGATTATTCGACAGATCCTCTTTTCCCCTAACTTTCAGCTTCGGAGATCCCAGATCCCCTCCCTGCATGTGCTCATCCATCACATCATCTTGGATCACCAAGCCCTTAGGCTTCTTTATGCTTCGATTCAGGTTGTCTTCCTCCTCCGTCGATGCCGATCGTGTTTCTCCCATGACACTCAGAAACTTTCAGAGAGAAAAGGTTGAGCGCGTGAGATTCACAGGTAAAGTATTTTATTTTTACCTTTATAATATTTCTTATAATGATTAAATGTGTTTACATAACACAACTTACAACAGGTATATTTGGTTTCTTTGACTATAAAGAAAAACCAAATCGTATTTATAAATCATGATGGATATTTTTAAGCTTACACAAAATAAACTCTCTGAACCCTAAGGAATAAGCATGTTTGAATTTGATTGTCTCATATTTGGAATTTATAGAATTATATGAATTATTTTCAGTTACTCTTACTTCGGTCACCTTTAATTTTGAAGATATTTTGTTTAGGGGATAGGCAAAATAAGTGAGGTTTTTTAATTGATGGTAGTAAGTGTTTTTGGTTCTATTTTCTCGTTATTTTCGGTCTTGGTAGCAAAGGAAGATAGAAATGGTGTGGGAGGAAGTGAGGAGAAAGAAAGAAGAAAAAATATTTATTTTATATTGCAAATATCGACCGTTGGATGAAATTGTAATCGAACGATATTGAAAGAGGTAGACAAAAGTAGGCAAAATAAGAATAGGCAGAATAACCTATCCCGTTGTTGTGAAGGTTAAAAGTCTCTCCAAATATGACCAAACTTACAATATTAGGATTCAAATAATCATTTTTAACTACTGCGAGTAGCAGCAGCACACATTCGATTACCTAACAGAACTTTAGCTTTGCCTACAAGAAGTCTGAAACAGAGAGATACCATGTATGTATACCTCCATCACCATAGTCCGTATATAATTATGATTTCATTTTATACTCTCCCTATAACATATTTTCTCTTCTCTCTTTATAACGTATTTTCTCTGCACCCAAACACTCCAATTTATTCACATAAAAAAAAATGGATTTAACAAAAAAAGAAAAGAAAAACATTAGAGTTCATAGCAAAATAAGTCAAAAACTTGGAACACCTATCCCAAAGTCAATAATAATGCAAACTTATTATGGCAACAATTATGCTGAAAAAACTTTGGCCTTTCAACTTTTCTAAAACGTTGTAATTATTTGTCATGCTCATTATTAACTTGTAGTATTTTTTTTTATTTTTTTATTTTGTAATTAAGAAGCCCTTTTTAGTTTCAAGAAGCCCTTTTAGTTTACAGCAAAATTAGAAAAGAAAATACATTTCCCTTTCTGCTTAGTTACAAGCAGAAATTCCCAGACTAGTTTGCATAGCTGCTATCAACATATCCCAGATACAGGCTACTTTTGGACTATATGCAACATCAACAAACTACACTAAGAAAGTGTCATTTTTTTTTTCTCTTCCCTTCTTATCCCAAAAAAATTAAAGAATATCTTAAGGTAAAAATATAAGAGCAGGGTTATATTTATAAATTTTTTGTTTACAAACTATACTATGTACTATGGGTAGTATATACTACTTGAGCATATATTACCCGTAATACATGGTGTAATTTATAAAAGTTTGTAAACAAAAAGTTTGTAAATATAACTTATCCCAAAATATAGTTCAACACATATTCTGTAGACTTAGGTGGTCTCTTGTATGTTGAAAATATGTCTAATGATGAAATCAAGCATTGCTTTCTTCACCCCATATTTTCTCCATATGACAACCTATTTTGTGCTTTCAATTGCAACCTGCTCCCTCCCCACAAGTTCTTTCTTGTTTAAAGGTTGAAGTTGTTTTGTGTACCAACAATGCATTCACAATGGGATCTCTGTGCTTAAACTTTACCAAAGAATAATATACAATATCATCTCCTCTTTGCTAATTGGAATGTCCTCTTTAAGAAAAGATTTGCAGCTCTGTCATTTCTATGACACAATACCCTCAATATTGTGTTTGGATCTGATCTATTCCATCTTCCTCTAGTAGGAGGCATTGGCAACTTCTGCATATTACTCATAACTCCGATCCCACTTGTTTCACATGTGGCAATGCTGAAATCTTCCATCAACTGTTCAGTATTTTGCCCCATCAATGCTATGACACCTTCCACTACTGCAGCCTCTCTTTCCACCACATTTTCTGCTATCAATCCTTCTCCACAAGTGCAGAAAACCCGGTTCAAACTATCAAAATCCTCTTTGATCAACACATGATCAGATCTGTTAAACACCCTTGAGCTTCCACCAGCAAGCAAAACTATGAGGAATGCTTCAAATGAGGCCTTCATTACTTCCTTCATTGCAAGTGATTGAGCTTTATCTGTCAACATTGTTGTCATTAGTGTGATATTCTGCTTGAGGATTCTCAATGCCGGTCGAATTCGCGCATTGGCTACATCACCAACATAGAGGCTACCATAGAAGACAGAGTTGGAATCAAGGAATATGAGACGGTATGCAGCAACTTCTGAGACATGTTGACATGCTGCTGGAATGGAAGAGTTAACTATTTCAAAATATGAACCAATGTTGCCTTGAGTCCTAAGGTTGTTTGCAAAGCGATAATGATTCGAAGGAACTGCACAAGGTGTCTGAGAGAGTGATTTTTCAATGGAGTTTATGTGAAAAATGAGATAATGTAAGGTGTTGAGACGAATGTAAAGGCGTTGTGTGCCGCGACTAGTTGATGGCCGAGGATGATGACCTTCATTTGTTCCATTTATGTGATCCATCTCAGATCTACTAGCACCACAGGGGCTTGCTTTCTTCCACAGCTTGATGAACTTTGAATCTTTGCTACATCTGGTTAGTGGAGGAATTGAAGGAATATAGTTCTGTTTTGAACCTGAAAGAGAACAGAGTTAAACTTTAAAACAAAGTAAATAAGAATGGTATGCATTTTACTAGTCTATTGTAGTTATTTGTGAGAGCGAGCCTTGGAGCAGTGATAAGGTTGTTCCTTGTTATCGGAAGGTCACGGGTTCGAGTCTGGTAAACCGTCCTTTTGCAAAAATTCAAGAGTAAAGTTGTATACAATCAACTCTAACATTTATCCTTGCAAGTCGAGAAATCTTGTGCATCGGATTTACCCTTATTATCAGTTTTGTGGAGTAAACAAGTTTAAATTTTTGGTGTATTCAAAGTACTTACCACATGCTGCAACAAACATTATGTAGTCTTGGAAGAGACTTTCCAATCCATCAGCAAGTTCTTGAACTAAATCTTCAGTTACTTCTATTGGAATTTCAAAGAATTCTTCTACAATTGACTTGGCCAATTTCATCAGCTCAGCAGCTGATTGTGCATATATCTCTGATTTGGACTTTGGATTCCATGTCTGCAGTAAAAAGAGAAGAGAAATTCATTAAAAATCATATTCAATGTTATCATAATCACAAATTTTTTTATCTAAACAAATATTGTTAGTTGTGTCCTTTCATTTTTAATCATTGAAGGAAAGAAAAAAAAGGACCATAAAGCCAAAACTTACTTCAGTTTCTTTTGCTCTTTGCAAATACTCTTTTCCTTTGTACAGAGATTCATGTATCCATTTTCTCAAAAAGTTCAAGATGATTGAATCAACATCATAGGGAATCATCTCTCTCACAACTGTTTTGCCATTATCCTCACCCTCAGTAGAATTTTCCACCATCATTTGGACCAAAACCTTTTCTAGCTTTCCAGCTCTCTGCAATACGTCAACAGTCTCATAAGTCAGTGAGTTAACTTCACTTAAATATTGCCTCAGCACATGCCCATAGCAATTGTGCAACATCAATGCTGCTACTCCACATGCTGCTGGGTTCCATTTCTTTAGCATTGCACTAAAATTTTCTCTTTCCTTCATTGCTAAATCTTCTGTCTCCTGTGCTAAATGAAGCAGAATTTCACTTAATTCTCCCTTTATTTGCATTTCAGCACACTTGGCATTCACTGCCTCAACTACCTGCACTCAAGAAAATATATATACATTATTAAAAAGAAAATAATGAGAGCGAGTATTGGCACAGCAGTAAGGTTGATCTTTGTGACCGAAATGTCACGGAAAAATAGTCTCTTTGTAAAATTATAAGGGCAAAGCTGCAAACAATCAATCCTACCCCTACCCTCACACAAGTCAGGGAGACTTGTATACCGAGGTTTACCCTTGTTAAGGAAAAAAATACTAGTTTAGAATAGTGAGGATAAGATAGGTTAAATGAACACAAACCTTTTCAAATGCATTTTTCATAGAAGATCGAATATAAAAATCAACCCGATCCCCAGATGAATATACTATAGTTATATCTCCTTTCTTTCCCCCTTCTCCATCATCTGATATTATAAGATCTTCACCTAAAATCTTTGAGACTGACAACACCACAGGAAGAAGGTTTTCAATTTCACCAACACTCCCTCTTTGGAAATGGTCATGATAATTAACAAGTCGATTCTCTGCCCAACATTGCATTGAACTCAACACTGATGTCAATAATTTGACATAGAAAGATTCTTTTTCTCTCTTAGCATCACTGGCCACCTCTGATAACATAGCATGTGAGGCACATAGAAGGTCAGGTTCTATCTGCCCAGTTGCAACGTATTGTTGAAACAACACCCAAGTGAAGCACACATTGTGAATTGGCTTGTTGATCCCCAATGTAGACCATGTTTTCTTCATCAACTCAAGTAACTCATCAACTTCATCAAGGACTAATGTGTCATCTCTAACATCAAAAATGGCTTGAAGAAGAGAAGTATATAAGTGAATGTTGAAAGGGAATCCATCAGCCCAATGACAAACATCAGTAGGGGTTCCATTAGGACTACTTCTCCATGCTAAGGAAACAACAGAATTGATAAGGGTTCTCATGATATCAGAGTTTTTGCCTGTGTCTATAGATTTGGACTCAACATTACGTATGATATCTCTAAGGCGCATGGCAAATGTGTTGGTTTTTTCTAAAGGAATTGAAGGGTGTAGGAGGAGCCCAATTTCAAGGACTTTGAGTTGTCTCTTTTGCCACATATGATACTCACGAGAATCACTGAATTCTGAGGGTTTAAGGTGGCGTAGAAGATCTAAAGGGAGAATGATAGTTTCTGCTCTTTTTCCCACCTACAAGGCAAGCATTTTGAAATAGTTAGAAGTACTTCTTTACATGTATATGGAGCTATAGCTAGTGAATTTTATCCTAACAAAAAGCTCAAATATGTCAACAGTTTCATTGTTAGCATGTTCTATTCATTAATGTCTCAATACATTATACATTTAAGGAATTAAACACCATTGGCAACTTGATTAAGGTTTCATCATTAATATAGTTTTAGTTTGAAGTTGTAATTGATATTTTCATATCGACTTTCAATGTATTAGAAAAAGGGTAATTCAGTTTCACATCATGTGGTGTGATCTAGTTAATTATGTGGTTTGAACTTTGTAATTCTGACTAAGAATCAATTTGTTTGATTATCACATCATATATTGTTTAAAGAAAAAAACTCATGTACTTATCACATGAAATATATAATTACCTCATTTTGAGGTATTTTAATGCCTAAAAATGATATCGCTGTATACATGTATATTACACATTGAAAATGTACCCAAAAATAAAAAATAAAGAGGATGGTTAAATCATAAATCATGTCCCAAAAAAAAAAAAAAAAAACCAACCGTAACCTGTGAAACTGAGTAATGGATTCTCTGATGTGACATAAGATCGTCCCAGAAAATCCAAATCGTTCATATGAAAGTTATTGGCAATGACAGAATACATTGAAATAAAGTATAAAAATAAGGAAAAAGATTTATCACGTTGCATGACAAATCTCCTCTCCTACCACTCTCACTTCGATATCCGTGCCAATCACTTTTCTATTTTTTATTTTTTTCTTTAAGTGGGCCCCACGCCTTTCTCTCTCTTTAGGAAAACTTGCATTTCTCATGTAACATGAGAAATTGCAAGCGCATAAAAATATATATAACCATTAATTTGTCGTTTATAAATGATTAATATTCTCTTATATAATCTCATCTCACATGGGCTAATGCATTCCCGTGAAATGAAATTTAGCTTAAAATAAATAATCTGATTAACAATTTAACCTAACAAGTCATTGGTCACGTAACCTATAACTCAGGGAAAACCATCCACTTGATCCAAGGAAGTGAGATCTCTAATTAACCTCATTGCTCATGTTTAATATACCTTACCTTTTTCTATCTGCTTATTACATTACCAGGTCATCACATCTTTCTAAGATAAAATCAACAAAATTCATAACCAAAACAATTTTAGAGGAAAGAAACTAATATATATATATATATATATATATATATATATATATATATATATATATGGGAAATAATACTCTTATGCTACATAAGAGTACATCATTTTCCTACACTAATTCGTTTTTCGTGCCAATTAATTTTTCTTTTCTTTTTTAATATAAAATATGGGACCCACATTTAATTTCTCTCTACTTTTTTTATCTCCTATAATCCTACAACATAAGAAAACTTAAACCCTATATATATATATATATAGCATGTATGTGTTTACGTACTTGGCCAACGAAAGACCTCATTAGGGTTTTCCTCAGGCGATGATCGTTGTGCTCAGTCACCCTCATCTGTTGTCTCATAATCTCTGCAGAAGTCATCGGCCGCCGCGGCCTCAGTGGTAGCATGTTATGATGAAAAGGACTGCCTCCTCTCGACGGTGATGACGGTGTTGTGGTTGACCCTCCACTGCTACTCGACACCATTCTTCTCGATGGTGACCTTTTCAACATTTTCAACCCTAAAGCCCGCTTCACCTTACTTGTGGGTGACATCACCACCTGGCTCGACTTCGTTTCATTCTCGTGGGAATGAAACGAGAGTGTCTGCCGTGCTCCAAAACCCGGTGATGATCGGCATGCCGTGAAAAATATTTCATAGGCAGTTTCTCGGACATCGTCGTGACTCAAGCCTTCGAGCTTGCCAAATGGAGAAACTAAATCGATAGTCTCGTTTTTATTGGCAAGCTCAATAAGACGTGGGTCATAATGATAGTGGTGGTGGTGATGATAATTATAATCGTTATAAAATAAGGCAGTAGGCAAGGGACCGGAATGGAATTCCCTGCGGGTTTGCTGACCCATAAGGTGGAGATTATGGGTGATGGGTCAGAAACCGACGTTGAATGGTTGCGGCGACCAAGGCAACAGAGATATTATATATGTCAACAAAACATTGAGGGGAAGAAGAGACTGTGGTGCATTTGTATTAAAGGAAGGGATAAGAGAGAGAGCATGAATATTGAGGGTATGGTGTTTGTTTTTGTTAGTTAATTGACAGCAGTTTTTTGCATGAGAGAGAGAGAAAGAGATGAGTGATTTTGGGTTTGTCCACGTTGTCATGAGCGAAGAAAACGAGAAACAAATGGTGGTAGAACATTCATGCATTTGAATACGTTTCTCTCGGAATTTTTTTTTTTTAATTTTTTTCTTTCTTTCTTTCTGTATTCTGTTTGGGTTTCCATTTGTAATGAGAAGGTAAGAAAGTTCGCATAAATTACACAACGGATATTGCACCTCATTTTATGTTTTGCTGTCAACTTTTGTTTCTGTTTCTGTTTTTTTTTTTTTTGTGAGGTAATTAGTTTGAGATGTTAGATGGCATTATCCATTTGACACATCGTTACATTGTCATTAATGGATGGACAATGGATATATATATATATAGATAATCTTGCTTGAAATATGATTAACTGAAAATATCATTCAAAGTTGATCATTTTCTACACTTTTATCTTTAAAAATGTCATAAAAAAGCAAATCGTTCTCAACTCCCATTGTATAATCCCTAAGTTTAGTACCTTTACATAGTATATTTGCAACTACCTAAACAAAACAAAACAACCCAACTACATAATATATGGTGATCTATTTCAATAACAGAGTTTTCAACACAATGATGGCAAAATAACTTACTTCATTGTTCTTACATTCTTCCAGTTCTTACTGTAGTCCTTCCAGCAATATATCATCCCTGCAAAATTAAGCTAATCGAAACATATGAAACTTGTAGTAACATCATTTTAAATATAAATCGCAAGCTCAAAAGTGTACAAACCAAGTTGAAAGGTAAAAAACATAAAATATATGTTAAATTTGAAAGGCAGAGTAGAAGAAAGTGTAGACCTACTTGGATCCTCTTCCAATGTTATTTGCTCAACAAATGCTCCCAAATTGAAATAAAGTACAGAACAATAAACATGGGAGATCAACAAACATGACATAGAAAATTATAATTTCACAAATATAATGAGTAAGCGCTTATGTAAATGAACAACTAGAGAAGATGAAAAAGATAAACATACATAAAAAGAAGAAATATGTGTACAAAAGGTGATTAACAAAGGAAAATATGCAGCAACACATATCCTATTTATACATGTACTACATACTAATTTCGTTTTTTTAACTCATTTTTTATATATTAAAATTTAGTTTTTAAAGCTTCGAACAATTAATAGGATTAACAATCACCTATGTAAAAAGTAGAGAGAACAATTAATAGGCGTAACAATTACCCCTACTGAAATTAGTGTGAACAATTAATAGGGTTAACAATTTCTGTAAGAACCCGCACCGTTAATTATGGAAGTTAATTAATTAATTATGTGAAATTAGGAAATAATTTCATAATTGACCCTAATGATTATTATGAGGCTTAAATAATCATGGTAAGTGAGTAATAATGCTGAAAGTCGCTTTTCTGACGAAAAGTGTAGATACCGGTTCTGCTACTCGATATAAATGCGTACCGATGAAGTATCCCGAAAAATTATAAAAAGTGTGTATATGTTACTAGAATAATATATAGGAATTGTAAAACAAGTTTCAAGTTAAAATAATGAGAACTGGTGCCAGAACTGATACTGGCTATGGAAAAGCGCGTACCGGAAAGGTGCTGCGAAAAATAAAATAAAAATATGATAAATCTTAGAAAAATGAGTAGGTTCAGAATCTCAAGTTTGGGATTAAAATGCTAAGCGTATCTGTTAATGTTAATATTGTGTGTTATTTGAAGTGGGCCTATTTAAGCTAAAAGGCACAAAACCCTAGGCCATAATTTGGCTGCTACGTGAGTGTCTTGAGTGCTGATTCTCTTCATCCATTGTCCCTTCCCTTGAAGTTTGGACCCTTGTGCTTGTTTGAGGGACAAAAACTCACCTTTTTATTTAGATTTCTTCACACTTAACCTTGTAAACACTTAGTGGTACATGGTGGGGAGGTGATGGTGCCTTGTTTCTGAGTTGGTTTCTGTCTTGTGGGCTGAGTTGGTGTTCCCCTTGGTATGAGCCATTGTTCATGCTATTGGAGGCTTCTCTGAGCCATCTTTGAGTGGAAAGGTCCAAGCTTGTGTTGTATATTCGTGGCTTGGCAAAGTCAGAACCTTGGTGCTGTGTAGAGTGCCCCTTGTGTGTCTCATTTTCAGAGTTTTAGAGTGCTGGAGGTATACTATGATCATAGTGTAACACCCCGTATATATCCGGTAATGTTATCATATCATCGTATTAAGCTGCGCTTAATTAAAAATGCGGAATATCTTTTTCTTTCATTTATGACGTCATTATCATTACCAACTTGCTTAATTAATCATTTAAATAAAACCATGCCTGTATGTAAATTGCAAAAGACAACTAACTAAAAACCTCATTAATTAAAATAACAGATATAAGTCTCTAGTCACGGAACTACAACAAGTAGACCGGACAACCTACTAAGTTATACAACTCAACTCAAAGTACTAACATAAAGTGGCATGGACAAACCTCATGCTCACCCAAATAAGGCACAAGCCCAATAGAAGTCTCAACATCAACAGCATAATCAAAGCAACTAAAAACATAACATCAGCAGAATATCCAGCATCCAACATGTCAGCATAATAAACAACAATAATCATCAACATAACTAAGCTCTGGCCTTCTGCCGCCAGAGGCATCAGTCCCCATACTACCTGAACCTGAAATAAGCGCCCCAAACGTGGGGTGAGATCTCTAAACAAGAAATCTCAGTAAGACAAGGGGTCCTCAAGGATCTTCCACCCCAAGCTCACTTACATGTGCAATATAAGTTCCAAAACAGTTTAACAATATCATTTCCAAAATAGTGCAATGCAGTAGATAATCATGTCATGTGTGTCAATACAATAATCTACTGGCCAGAGAAATGTAGGAATACGTCTATTACCCACACAGTACGCGCCCTGCCGTACCTACCCTTAGGATACCATTCCATCGGGTGAACACCACATACATATCATAAGCCATTGCACAATATAAGCTGAAAAGCATTTCAATATATCAAAGCATGTAACACAATGCATATAACCATACCCCTATGGGACATGGTGGAACCACAACATGGCTAAACCGAGGACACGAAAGCTTACCTCACAAGCTAACAATCCAAGCCAAGAGTCCACAGCTTAAAGCCCAAACACAGCAGAATCACAATATGTTATGGACCAATAATATATCAACAATCATACCTTACAAGCATACAACATAAAGACAACGCCTTTCCTTACGTTTTACGTCTTAAGGCTTCACACAAGCCACAAGCCCTTAATCACTTGATTCTGACTTAGTTCAATTATTACAGAAGTTCAACTTCCTCAAACTAGGGTCCACAAACCCCCAATAGCCTACTGTATGAACAGTGCAGCTACTGTTCTTCAAAATCCCAGAATATCCGGATATTTGTCGGGGGCATATCCGGATATCAATATCCGGATATCACAGAACCCCATATCTGGATATCACTGAACTACATATCCGGATATCACAAAACACATATCCGGATATCAATATCCGAATATCAATATCCAGATAACTATATCCGGATACTTCGCGACAGAATGCAGTTCTGCATTTTCGCGAAGATATCATCCAAACGTTCCTCTTTTACCAATTACAGAAGCCTAAACATGCATTTCTAGGTGTGTTTGACATTACCCAACGTTAAGTTATCAACTTTAACTCATTACATGCATCAAGGTTCCATTTTTAAGCATTAAACTCAAGTACAAGAGTGATGATCATACCACAAGCTCAAAACAGAGCAAGGAGGTGCTCTTGGAGCTCACACAATAGCTCCAAAGTTCTGACCTCGAAGAGGAACGAAAATGGTGAACAAGAGTGGTTCTTTCCTTCACAAGATAGCTTCTTGAAGTATCAAAACACCATAACCATGGTTCCTTCAACCCTCACCATGAAGTCAGCCCCTAGACAACCACTAAACAGAGCCCAAAAAATCAGAAGATGGCACCTTTCTACCTCACCAAGCTCACACCCAAGTGTTTGACACACAAAGAGGAAGATTCAAAGAGAAAATGTGATTCCTTGAAGGGTTTTCATGAAGAAAGTAAGGTGGCAGCTTGAAGACTCAAAGTTCAGAGAAAAACCCACGTAGGAGGCTGAGGATCAACCTAGGGTTTTGTGCCAAACACTATATATAGGCAGTTTAAGTCATAACACACAGTATTAACATAAATAGCTACGCTTAGCATTTTAATCCCAAACTCATGATTCTGAACCTACTCAATTTTACAAGAATTATCATATTTTTCTTATATTTTTCGCAGCATCTTTTCGGTACGCGCTTTTCCCATAGTCAGTATGAGTTCTGGCACCAGTTCTCATTATTTTAACTTGAAATTCATTTTACAAGTCCTATATATTATTATAGTAATATTCATGCACTTATTATAATTTTCTGGGATACTTTATCGGTACGCATTTATACCGACTAGCAGAACCGGTATCTGCACTTTTCGTTAGAAAAATGACTTACTACATTTATTTAAGCCTCAAGATAATTATTAGGGTCAATTATGGAATTATTTCCTAATTTCACATAATTAATTAATTAACTTCCTTAATTAACGGTGCGGGTTCTTACACATAGCCTTTGTCATTTTGAGGTTTTAAGCTTGTTTAATCGGTAAAAAGAGAAACTTTAATCATTTGAGTAAAGAAATGCGTTTCTGAGTTCGTAACATGTTAATGAATATCTGTTTAGGGAGTCATTGGACTCCTAATCGCATTTGGTATAATAACCCTAACCTAATTAATTAGCAAATTACATGT